GAAGGAAGGAAGGAAGGAAGGAAGGAAGGAAGGAAGGAAGGAAGGAAGGAAGGGCTAGGAACAGACTTCCTGGGCCAATTGGACCTTGCCTGATCAACAGGCTCTTGAGGCCTGGGAAGTTTGTGTATTTTTGACTGGTCCTTTGCTCCCAGCTTACCTAAAACTACAATTCGTGCCCTAATTCTGACATATTTATGCAAACACCTTATAGGAATTTGATTCAGAGGAGATGAGTGTCACTATCTTTGCCTGTTTAGGAATTCATGCCTTTTCAACAAAACTGAATTTCCCTCACCACGTAAAGGTTGACATCCAAGATGGCCACAATATTAACATCCAGTTGTTCAAAATTTACATAAAGAAAAAGATAGTAAAATGACATACTGTATAAGGCAAATTTTCCTGATCTTCAGTACCAAGAAAACAATATCAATGACTCATCCCTTGGTTTCAGGGTTCTGACGTTCTATTGCAGAGTTATGCTCAGCAAGCTATTTCAAATTGCTGGTATCTTGCCAAGCAAGCCCTTGTGTAGCTCAGGGGGCAGCCCAGGTTCCTCATGCAGAAGGTCCCCGGTTCAATTCCTAGTACCTCCAAGAGGGGAGGAGAAGGTTTCTTGTCCAAAAACTAGAAAGTTGCTGCTGCTCTTCAGTGTTAGACAGACCCACGGTCTGAATCAGGGCATTTCTAGAGAAAAGGCTGCCATCAGCTACACTTGAAACAGCAATTCCCTATCCTCAGCCAGGGAGTCTGCTGTTTTCTCACCTGGCTCTATCCTTTCCATAGCCTCATTAACCGATTGTCCTTTTCACACTCTGTTCATTACAAATCTCTTCTTTCCCTGCACAGAGATGTTAAGTAACCAGAATTCTGTTTTTTGCTGTCTGCATCACATCTTCTTTGGTCCCTGAAAGCTTGGGCAGAAGATGTCTTTTCATTTTTATGTATCAGTAAAAAAAGCAGAAACACCTTTAAAAAATAGTTTGGCTTAGATCATCATAGGACAATTTCATTGAACAATTTGTTCAAAACAAGGTTAGAAAATTGCAATTAAGTTTGCCTATGGGTAGCAAATTGGCTGAATGATCTCCTGATTTCTTCTGAGAATGCCAGATTTCTTTACAATGCCAATTCCATAAATGAGTCTTATAAAAAGCCTGATTGTTACTAGTCATTTTTACTATGCCAGCTTGATTTTCCCTGTTTATATAACTATGTTTATTTTTTTTACTTCTGGAGAAACATGCAGAGACCTAAAGATCAGGCCATCCTATATGAAATGAGTAAGGCTACCCCCTTCCTCCCCAGCAGTGGTGGTTTATAAATGTTCTGCTGAGGTAACCAAAAATGGTAGTTGATTTACTTCTTTTAAGTTGTGCAAACTTAACCGGAAATGTTAGTGCCTTGCCAGAGTTAATACACAAAGCATCCCTTTCTTATTTCCCTCTAGTACTATTAATTAATTAATTGGTTTAGAACTGCAGAAGTAGTTTTAAAAAGGGGAAAGGATGTGGTAGAATCTTCTAATTAAGGAGGAAAAATATTTCCTAATTGGGTAATGATTTCATTGGGACCAAGTAAAATTAACACAACTGAGTCTGCACATTTTTAGTTCCCCAGAACTGTTCAATAGGCATTCGTGCTTTCTATATAATTTTGTTTCCTACCACTGAAGAACAGGTTTTAGATTTTTTTTTTCTAATTCAAGTATAATTAATTCAAAAACATTCTTTTCAAGGGAGATGGATTTTTTAAAAAAAGCTTGCTAAGATTAGTGCAGAGATATTACTCTGCAAATGTACTTGACTACGCCTCCCATCTTTCCCAGCCAGCATGGCTATTGTAAATTGTGATCCAATACACCCAGAAGGTACCAGTTTGGAAAAGGATGATCTGTAATAAAGGCAAAGCTAGATTTGCCTTTGGGTGCTCTAAATCATTTCTGCTTGCTGTCTGCATTCCAACAAATATTTGTTCAAACTTTCTCCTGCACTGCATGAATGTGTTCACACGCTGTTAATGAAACTGTTCTCCTAGATCTGGGGGTCTCACAGTTACTCTAGGAATTTAGGAGCATTTTCTTTTATATTCTCTGTGAAGGAATATATGTTGAGGAAGAAAAAAAAAAGAGGAGAAAAAATACAGGAAAACAGGCATTCCCTGAAGTGCTGCCTCGGAGGGCATAAAACGTTTTATAATTGGTGAGGCAAATAGCAGGAGAAAAGGCGCATATCAAAGCCTCCTTCAGGAACCACTCTTCCCATTGTGTCTAAGAGGACTTCCTATGTTTCAGGGGTATCCACAGGATGTGGTCAAAAAAGTCAAGATTGTAGCCATGACAATGTGGTGGAAGCTCCGTCAGCTTCTTTTTAATGTGCGTTGCTTCAATCACATGGTCACAGCCACTGTCTTGGTTTTTTTAATTGCACCTCATGGACACTCCTGCTATGTTTTTTTCTGGTAGAAAACTTTACATTTTGGAAGAGAGTACGCTGGGCAGGAGTTCCCCAAGTGATACTGTGAAATAAACTGTAGGTTCATAAGGGGAGAACTGGGGAACCCTCCAAGATGTGGCTGAACCACAGTACTTGGCAAACCTCACTGTTGGCCATTGTAATCCAGCTGTATTAGAAGGGCCAGAGGTTCCCCACCTCTGTTTAGTCATCTTGTTGTTCTTAAATATACAGATTTTTCTGAGCTGAAAAAAAAAGGAATGTGAAAATAAAGTATAGGATAAAGTAGCTCCTCTTTATTTAATTTAAAATAATTCATTTTTATTTAAAATTATTTTAGAAATAAATAATGGAAGAAAAAAGAAAGGAAAGAAATCCTTTGATTCCACAGATTTCTTTGTTTTCTTTTTTGTTCAATTATTTATTTTTATATATTTATGTGCTACTTTCCATTGTTATAAATCTCAAAAAGTTCACAATCCACAGTTAAAATGCAAAAGAGAATCAGCAAATTAAAACATTGTAAAAATAACACCTTCAGTTAAAAAGAGAGTGGATGAAGGAGAATCAAACAAGCAAAGAAGCCCCTACCCTCCCTTCATCAAACATTCATACTATACAGGGAAGGCCTGGATGAAGAGGTAGGTGCCTCGTGAATTTCAGCAGGGAGAACATTCTAGACCAAAGGTGCCATTGCCGAGAAGCTCCTCTGCAGTTCTCAGCAGATGGTCCTTTGCTATCATTAGTGGTGTCATGTGACCAACACTCTCCTGCTGATTCTTTTCTTAGCTGCAGAGTTCCATGGCCTTCCTAAAACGGTGGAACTGGAAGAAAGTACAAAACCAAATTCAATTGTGGCTACCTTCTCTGTCAGTTGTACAAGCTCAAGCTATGTACCTGTGACATCACTAAGGACCATCACCCCGATGTCCTCTTTTTTCAACTTTTTAAACATCTTATCCCCCGGCAACTATCAGGTAAACAAGATAATATAGCCAGCCCAATGTGATATCTTGGAATGATTTTTGAGAAATTGCATTTCTAATTATGGCCCATGAAACTCTAAGTGATTTATTCTCTGTGGCATCTTTTCTAATCATTTGCAAACAATTTGGACTGTTATTACTTAGTATACCAGCCTCCTCCAACCAGATGCCCTCTGAAATTTTCAGATTACAATTTGCAAAATCCCAGATAAAAGTGATAATGGAGTTACAGTCCAACAAACCTGAAGGCTCAGGTTTGGGGACAACTAGAGATGAAGACAAGGTTGGAGAATGCAGTTCTATTGCTTCAATGCAGAATAGAAGTGAGTGGTGCATTTAGTAAAGAATGCCTCTTCCAATGTTTAAAAGGTCATGGGAAGGGGTCTATTTAGGATGCTATCAATGGATAATGTTCAGGAAATAAGTGGCAATCTAAACAAGGACTTCCTCATTTGTGGCGTCTTCACTATGGAACTCTCTCCCTTTGAAGTGCATCAGATAGTCCTCAATAGTTCATTTTATTAATTGCTTAAAATATATGCCCATTTATTCAGATGACTGGTTCATTTTGATGTGTTCACTGCTGACTATGGCATTTGATTATATAGTTTTCTTTGCAATTCTTGGTTTTATATTTTATATTAGTTCTGTAAAGCATTTTGCAGTGCTTGATGAAGAGTGGTGTGCCTATTAATAGTAATCTAAAAGACCTGAAAGAATGAAATATACTGTTAATAAAATCATCATCATTCCTCAGTTCCAAAGAGGGGAGACTGAAAGGAGTTTCTACCTGAAACTCTGGAATCATGGTGAGGCAGGTGTTCCTACAAATGGGGAAACAGACTAACCATAAATTCCACAGAGTGGAATATATTTTTTTTAATTAAAAAGGATCAGTTTTACTGTGGATTCAAATACCACATTGCTGAGCTAGCAGTAAATTGGCTGAGCTCTCAAGCACAGCTAATGTTATGAAATTACAGAGATCCAGGTTTGCTTTTGGAGTGGCTGAGAGTCCTTTGGTTGGAGATGCCCTCAGAGGCGTACAGGGAAGGGAAGGGAAGGGAAGGGAAG